TTTCATGTCTGGTTCTTTAGCAACGATCTCAGGAGTTTCTTGAGCTTCTGCTGTAACATCACTGGGTGAATTTTCCTGCGACTCAAGCTCAACTTCCACTTGTTTCATAGTCTCAGAGCTTATCTTCTCTATGTCCTTGTACAAGACTTTTTGATCAAAGGTTATGTCACAATGTGTTAGGATTTTTCTATTTTTGTCATCCCAAAATCTATACCCGAACATGTATGAGCCATAGCCTACTGAGTAGCACTTCACAGCCTTAGCATCAAGCTTGTCTCTTTTCTCTGGAATGATGTGAACATATGCAGTACAGCCAAAAGTTCTCAAATGAGAGTACTTGAGTTCTTTTCCTATCCATACTTCTTCTTGCAATTTGAACTTCAAGGGTATTGACGGCCCTCTATTGATCAAATAAGTTGTTGTACTCACAGCATCAGCCCAGAATGTCTTTGGTAGTTCAGAGTAAATCCACATGCTTCTTACCCGCTAATTTAATGTTTTGTCCATCCTTTCTGCAACGCCATTTTGTCTTGTCTTACCAGGAACTGTCCTTATTAATCTAATTCCCTTAGCTGCACAAAATGTTTTAAACTCTGACTTGTCGTACTCTCCTCCATTGTGGACCTCAGGCATTTGATCTTCAAGCTGGTCTAATTTTCAACTTTAGCTTTCCACTTATTGAAAGTAGCAAACACATCTAACTTGTGTTTCAGGAAATAAACTCATACCTTCCTGCTGAAATCATTAATGAAGATGACTAGAATTTTGATCCGCCAAGTGAAGAAATTGGAGATAGTTTCCAAACGTCTGTATGAACCATTTCCAATCGTACTTTCTTTGGTTCTCTGGCAGTCTTTGTGAAGCTAACTCGTTTCTGTTTGCCCATAACGCAGCTCTCACAAAGGCCCATATCAATCGATTTTAGGTCTTCTAAAACTCCTCTCGTAGCCAACATCTTCAGTCTTTTGACACCCATATGTCCAAGCCTATTGTGCCATAGACTTGAGTTGGAAACACTCTCAGCAACAGCAGCCATGTTCATAAACCCTGTAGTGGTGTATAGGGTTCCAGATTTTGTGCCACGTGCTACCACCATGGCACCCTTCACAATCTTCCACGAACTCTTTCCAAATTCAGCTACATAACTTGTGGTATCCAACTAACCAATAGAAATCAAGTTTTTTTTAGACTTGGGATATATCTCACACATCCTTTAATGTCCATTGATTCCCTGCTGAAGTTTGTATACAAACATCTCCCTTTCCTTCAATCTCCAAGGTTTTGTTGTGGCAAGATACACTTTCCCAAAATTTCCTGATTTGAAATTTTGAAACAATTCCTAATTTGGAGACGAATGAAACGATGCACCTAAGTCCAAAATTCAGGATTCAATCGGGTTGTCCACACAAAGAATTAGAGCATCCTCAGTATCTTCTGAGGAATGTATAGAATCATCGTCATCTTCAGATTTGTGATTCTTTTTCTGCATCAAATACACCTTATTCATAGTCAACGGTTTCTCGTACATATTCAACAGATCTAACGTTGTCTTCTCCTTGATGATATTGAACTGCTGAATGTATAGAATCATCGTCATCTTCAGATTTGTGATTCTTTTTCTGCATCAAATACACCTTATTCATAATCAACGGTTTCTCGTACATATTCAACAGATCTGACGTTGTCTTCTCCTTGATGATATTGAACGTCATGTTTCTGGATAGCGTCAATCGGATCAACCCTAAGGCCTAACGATCCTTGAGCTTCCACTACTCTGTGGTCATATTATCCGGCTTCACCCCCAATTTCTAGCACAGATAATCTTCAATCCGCATCTTCCAGAAACTGAAATCACATCCATCAAACTTTTCAATTCGAATCTCCATCAAACTTTTCATCTTCACAGATGGTAGTGAATTTTGCCTCGCTGCTCTAATACCAGCGGTTAACACAAAGAACATGAGAGAGAAAATTGTAACGCCCCAGATCCACCCCTAGTAGATATTGTCCTCTTTGGGCTTTCCCTTTCGGGTGGACTTTCCCTTTTGGGCTTCCTCTCAAGGCTTTAAAACTCGTCTGCTAGGGGAAGGCGGGAAGGCTTCCACACCCCTCTTTGGGGGTTCCCTTTCGGGCTTCCCCTCAAGGCTTTAAAACTCGTCTGCTAGGGGAAGGCTTCCACACCCTTATAAATGGTGGTTTGTTCTCCTCCCCAACCAATGTGGGACATCACAATCCACCCCCCTTCGAGACCCAACGTCCTCGTTGCCACTCTTTCCTTCTCCCAAATCCACCCCCTTTGGGGCCCAACATTCTTACTGGCACACCGCCTCGTCTACCCCCTTTGGAGAACAGCGAGAAGGCTGGCAAGGAAAGGTTTCCACACCTTATAAATTTGTTTCCACACCTTATAAATTGTGGTTTGTTCTCCTCCCCAACCAATGTGGGACATCTTTGGGCTTTCCCGCTTCCCTCAAGGCTTTAAAATGCATCTGCCAGGGAAGGTTCCACACCTTATAAATTGTGGTTTATTCTCCTCCCCAACCAATGTGGGACATCTTTGGGCTTTCCCGCTTCCCTCGAGGCTTTAAAATGCATTTGCGAGGGAAGGTTTCCACACCTTATAAATTGTGGTTTGTTCTCCTTCCCACAAAAAATATAAGAGGAATATTGGCTAAAGATTTTATTGATGACTGGTATGTACAACAATAGAGAACACAAAAAATGAAGAAAAGTACATTTTGAGAGCACACTGCTTAATGGGTATATATATGATTTCAATTTACTAAATATAGCTTCCAAAGATTTAAACCCGACATATAATCTCTACCCGATCTAGACATATAATCTCTACCAGATCTAGGCATCAGACTCCATATCGCAACCATTTCTCACTTGGAGACTGATTCAGTTAATCCCAACAATCTCCCACTTGGAGACTGATCCAATCAACCAAGAATTTCATTCTCAATCTATACCATACCACTGAGGTTTTGCACAACCTTAATGTTCCAACATCAACATAAAATGTTTGCTGGATTCCTTGCACCCTCTATCTTCTCCAAACACATCACCATCTTCCACTAATCTCCTATCGAAATGGTATCACCTACTGTGTTTTGTGCTTGAATGATAAGACCGGGTTTCTCGCCAATTGCATGACACTCGAACTATCTACCTGAAGAATCTTCTTGCGCTGCTTCTTTCCTAATTCTTCTAGATAGTCTGTTATCCATATCATCTCCTTTCCAGCTTCAGCTATTGCCACGTACTCAGCCTCAGCATATGAAAGAGCAACGCATTTCTGAAGCTTAGATATCCAACTCACTATTGTTCCATCTATAGTGTAGATATATCCAGATGTGCTCTTGCCAGAGTCTACATCTCCACTCAAATCAGCATCCACAAAACCTTGCAGAACTATTTTGTCATTACCATAACAAAGTGAAGTATTGGATGTACCTCTCAGATATCTCAGAAGCCGCTTCACAGCTTCCCAATGTTCTTTTCCTGGGTTTGCCATGTACTTGCTAACAACTCTCACTGTATGTGTTATATCAGGTCTAGTGTAGACAATAGCATACATCAAGCTCCCAACTGCAGAAGCGTACAGAACTGATGCCATGTGCTCACATTCCTCAACTGCCTTGGGAGGTTACCCCTTTGATAATTTAATATGATTTGTCAAAGGGGTATTCCTAGGTTTAGCATCATTCATCCTGAATTTGGACAACATCTTCTCAATGTACTGCTCCTGAGATAGATTTAATGTGCCAGCAGATCTATCTCGAGAAATCCTCATCCCAAGAATCTATTTCGCTGCACGCAAGTCTTTCATCTCAAATAGTGAAGATATGCTTGCCTTCAGGTGGTTTATCTCCCTCGTACTAGATCCAGCAATCAGTATATCATCCACGTACAGGAATAGAAACACATAAGCATCAATGTATTTCTTGAGATAACAACACTAATCCTTTTCACTCCTATGGAAACCACTCTTACACATGAAGAAGTCAAACTTCTTGTACCACTGTCTCGTTGCTTGTTTCAGTCCATACAAGCTATTATTGAACTTACACACCATGTGCTTCTTGCCTGGAGCTGCAAACCCTTTTGGTTGTTGCATATAAATCTCTTCATCTAGATCTCTATGTAAAAATGTTGTTTTTACATTCATTTGCTCAAGGTGCAAATTCTTCGCTGCAACAATACTCAGTAGAATTCGGATAGTAGTTAATTTCACAACCGGAGAAAAGATCTCAGCATAATCAATGTCTTTTCTTTGTGAATATCCTTTAACTACTAATCTAGCCTTGAACCTTCTTTTGCCATCTAGTTCAGCTTTGATTCTAAACACCTATTTGTTCAACAGAGCTCTCTTTCCTGTAGGTAACTCAGTCAGCACCCACGTATTATTCTTTTCAAGTGAGCTCATCTCATCATCCATGGCTTGCTCCCACTTAGTTGAATCTTCCACTGGTAGGGCCTTATACCAATTAAGATAGTATTCCTTACTTATAAATTTCATCAACCACTTCATGGTATGTCTTCAAACGATAAAACGAATATTCATACATAGAACCTTCTCGAGCAAAGAATCAATTGGCTACACGCAAATCTTTATCTCCATTTATGGGTCAATAACTAGACATCTACCCGTGAGAATCAAATTAAGTAGCGGAAACTGTGGAGGGCGGGAAGATTTGAGTTAATATATATATATATATATACTTTGTAACTAATAACACTGAACTAAAATTAATTAAATATTTAATTATGAGGAGTCAATATATTTATTTATTTCATGTTTGTGGATACAAAAAAATATATTTTGAGTGGTACTTTATAATTTAGTCTCCATTATTTTAAAAACCCTGAAAGCAATTTCTAGGATCGACTATTTTTTATAACATTATAAAATTATAGAAACTATTTGTGAGAGAACAAAATTTAAACGACTAAATTTTAATTTTCTACAAACCGAGACAACAAAAACGTAAATGAAACGTCAATGAAGAATATGTCTTCCTCAATTTAAATCTTTATAATTTATCTTGTATACACGATGTGGGACTACATCATTAGAGAATCAATTTATATTACACCAAGAGAATGTGTATACCATTTCCTTTTTCTGTATAATTTCTACTACCACTTAATGTCACAACTCTTCCATGTTTCCTGTCAATTTTGATGTTCATATCAACTCGTCCTGGTCTTCGAGAGATCGTTTACGAGCCTTCAGGTTGAGCTCGAGGCTCTGAGGCAGAGGAGGCGTCCTCCCTCTTCGGAACAGGACAGCAAGTGCCCTCATCTTCTTGCAAAGATCAAACACCTGAACCAATATAAACATACATATATTGAATCGCAATACGAGTAGGACGCTAAATGAATTCGGCGAAAACAATGATGTTTGAAGAATTCGGGTGTGTGATTATATCTCTTACTGATGAGGCTTCAATCTCGAAAACACCTTCACAACCTTTGCCTCCACCTTGCAACAGGTCACAGTATCTTGCAGCTTCATTCTCATCTTCAAACACCTTCAAAAGAAGCAAAGTTTTTGAGTAATCAATCGTCATTGATTACCAATTATCATGAAGATGAGTTCCATGATTATGGAAACAAATGGGGACTTACAAGAACTCCCTCCCTAATGTCTTCAACAAGCATCTGAAATTTGATTCCTGTTTTGGACTGTTTTTTCTGATTCTCAGACCTCCATTTTCCACCTTTGGAAAACAATAATCCAAGCTCATTTTCCACTTCACTGATGAGCAAACAAATCCGTGAGTTTCGTAAGAACTGAATGTTGAGAAAACCAGAAACACAAAGTGAGTTATATATATATACCTCCTATTTCTTCGAGTTTTCATTGTGCATATTTGGTTCTCATTGTGTGTTAATACGTATACAGGTTTTGAACTTTCTCTCCACGGATTGGCTTCCAATACTGAGTGAAATGATGGAAGGATGGCTAAGTTAAATCATTGAAGAACATATACGAAGAGAAGCACAAAAATAAAGATCTATCCATAATAGGCAAAGCAGCTTCCAAGTCCAGAAGAACAGATGATAATGCTAGGAGAGTTAGTTATCTTGTTTTGTTGTGTTTCATATTTCTATATATTTGGCAAAGCAGATTTCAATTAGGTTACCGATCAAAATTGAGAATCTAAGAACATTATCAAACCTTTTAAAACTTCATCACTAAATAGACAAAATCGTTCCTACAATCATAAGCACGGGAAGAAACTGCTGCTATCAAACGACAATAATGAATTTGAATTTCTGTAAATTACCGTCATAACTGCTGCTATCAAACGTTTGATGGAGATGCCTCCTCATATCATAAGCACGGGAAGAAACTCGCTTGACGAACTCATCAGAAGTACCAGGAATACTGCCATCTAAGCTAAGTGCCCTCTCCATATCCACATCGTCGGTTCCATCCTCGCCATCGCTGTCTCCTTTGTTAGCGCCGCCACCGCTCACTCTACAGGAAATTTCTCGCAATTTTCTGGATCGAGGACCAAACAAAGGGCGAACACGAGGCATAGGGCAGCGGAGGTCGCCAAAAGAGGCGGCGATTCGACGCCTCCGGAAGAAGAGAGGGTGTCTGGAAGGGAGAACGAAAGAAGGTGAGACAGATGATAGGGAATCCATTGGAGGACTGGATTCGATCCTCGACGGCGGCTGTGAATGGGAGAGTTGGTGGTGGAGTGATTGAAGGGGAAATTTGGTATGAGTTTATGTGCGTGGAAGGATGTCCAACTTGAGAGCTGAGAGGAGGAGAAGGAGAAGGAGAAGAAGAGAAGGAAAAGTTGGTTTCGTGAAGCCCATGAGAACTGGAGAGATATTTTTTTTATTTATAACGGAGGCTGTAGTTAGACACTTGGACCCCCCGTACGCGCTCACACTCCAACACTCTAAAAATGTTCTTTTTTTTGGGCTAAATTATATATATATATATAATTTATTATTTTTTTTTTTTTGTCCAAAAAGTGCACTATTATATTTGAATCGCTGCTCCTATAATAGAAATTCGTTAAAATCTTAGTTACAAAATAGATGCTTTGATTTATCACTATCATGGTTGTCCAAGACGTGTTATATGTGGTTACATGTCGAATGTCCCGTTCATGCTCGTCTAAGATGTGTTATCCATAACTGCATGTTCGTTCCCCTCTTTTTACTTACTTTCGTGTATAGGTAGGTTTTTACTATTCATGTCGTGTCAATATAGAAGTGTATGACCGTCCACCAAAACTATATCTACACATGTCAGGACTAAAGTGCCACAAAATTTACTATAGAAGATATGACAAATCGTCAATTCTTCCTAGGTTATATCCTATCAAAGTTGTGGTTGTTGCTTGTTTACTTTTAGTCTATAACATTGCTTTCCGACAAATTGTTTTCTAACGCATTTCTTCGCTCATGTTTTCTAAAACACTTCCTCCCAAACGTGACTGAGACTGATCAGTTGGTAGAGATCAAAAATCAATTGCTCTACCTAATCGAAGTTTCTAATGAAATTGGACTTTTGGAGTCTCGAATGAATGAGATTGACGCTAAAGCTAATGGGATCGATGAAACGATAACCTATCGAGACAATGTCAATCCGTAAATTAATGGTTAGGGTTTGTAGCTTCCAGCGCAAGGATAGCTTAGTGGGCTCTGTTTTCCAGATGAAAGAACATATCAAAGGTCTGGACAATGCCCAAGAGGCGATCATTCAAATGGTTAAAAAGTGTCTGAAGACTTAAGAGCAACCCTTAGAGTAGTCAGTCCATGAGAATAGTGGAGAACCAAACTACAACTAAAGTGCGATCCAATTTAACAAGTGGAATGTCCTCGAGCCTAAGTCCTATGGACTATAGGGTAAAGGAGTATTGTCACCAATTGTACTTAATGAACTATCATTCTAATCAAAGATGAGCATAAAATATACCTTATACCTTTGTAGATATCGTGGTTGGCATATTTCTTCATTGTGTTTCATTGGTATGAAAAAGGTAAGTGGCAGCAAAGTCATATAATACCTTCATTCCCCTTTTCATCATATAACTAGAAGAATTCAGTTGGTACTTTCAAGTTTCACCCGAAGGAAATCACTGCAGATCATCACAGCATGTAACCTGAAGATAAAATCTGTACCCATGTCTGTAAGAATTGGAAAACAGACAAACAAGTTGCACACAGTGGTCTAAGTTCATTTCAACTTTTATAATGAGCCTGAACGGTCTTTCTCCAAACAAATCTGCAGCTAAAACTTGAAACTAAATTTCTTTTAAATCACAACATCAAAGTTCATTGGAATCATTCAAGAGTAAAGCAAACAAACCATTGAAACAACAGAGCATGATCATATCGGGTCAGTTCGATTCCGATAACCTTACGCCATTATTTTTGCTGACCTAACATAGAGGCTGTCCACAACCTTGCCAATGTTGGAAATGGTTTCCAGTGTATCTGGATATATAGCGTCGGTCTTTGGGTCGTCGAAAATGATTAGGCATCCAGCACCTTGGTCTAAAGTGCCTGCAAATTTCTTGTCAAGAATCATCTGAGACAACTTCTTTTCCACATGATCCACAGGCAGTTCAATTAGCTCCGCAATGTGAGCAATCTCAACTCTTGAGAATGGTTCAATCAACCTGCACAGATTTTGCTCCAAAAGAGTGTCGTAGAGAGAAGAGAGATGCCTGTGGACTATAGGGTCTTCCTCTAGTTGAGCCTTATAATCTCTAAGTGCTGTCTCGAAAAGCTTTAACGATCGCTTGGAATGTGCATCAGCTACAGCTTTCATGGCATCCAGCTCAACCCCCACATATTGTAGACCTGCTTTTGATGATATTATTCCTGCCACGTCATCCGCTTGGCTAACCATAATTTTGCACAGCAACATATATTTGAGGCTAAATACAGCACGGGGATCTTCGAGAGCATTGAAGGCTTCAAAAGCTTCAAAGAAATAACTGTAAGCAGTTTTGTAGTCCTTCTCTTCCGCATGGAGGATGCCACTCTGCAAGTCAATAGTGCCCTGTTGTGCTGGAGGCACGTATATGGCATTAGCAGCTGTTCTTGCAGCGGTAAGTGCAGCCTTCGCTTTAGGGAGGTTCCTCAGGGAAAAGTGAAGTTTGCTCTCCAATAAATCTATGTCTACAAGGAGAAGCTTATCGTCCAGTCTTCTAACTTCCTTGATTAATCCAGCCAGGAGATTTAAGGCTTCAGAGTACTCCTTATTTTCCATCAAAAGAGCTGCAAGCCTGGCTTCAACCCGTTGCCTAAGGAAAGTTCGCTTCTCAGCACGTGTCCACTGCACCATTTCCTTGCATAGGGAAATCTGAAGATCAGATGTATCTGGTATTTTAGCCACGGCATCAATGATTCCTCTCACAATTTTTGCTGTTTTTGCTTTCGGAATCAAGTTAAAGAAGGGCCTTAGTTGAGTCAAAAGGTTCCGAAGATCCTCTGCACGATTCTCTTGTCTGAGAAGATCTGATAAATTTGTTATAGCCTGTTCTTTTATCCGTAGCGCCTCAGGGGAAGATGAAGGGTTTTCAAGAATACGGTAAAGGATTGAGATTGATTCTGACGGATTCTTAGCTTCTAAAGCCACAGCAATTGAATCAGTAGTGGCAGGTAGGTAAGATGTCGACATAGTTACAGAGTCGAAACCAAGTTCTGCAAAAGCAAGTCGTTGAACACCATGAAATTTTTATTTAAACATCAAAAACAAAACAAATGAAAGTCCGCCCTTGTCTAACAAGGGCGAAGTCCTGTATTAGTCTGCTACATTCTATCTCAGCTTATATCAATATTTCTTTCACATGTGGAGAAAATAATTAGAATGCAATAGAAACACAAAGCTTCCAAGTCCCTCTATACGAGAATCTTGGTTCCTTATCTCAATCCTTCACATGCCCCTTTCTATCCACTTCCCATATAATTTAATATGATATTTTGAAAGAGACCGAGCAGTAAAATAGAAAATTTATTTATATATAAATTCATTGATGTATAAATTCCAAGCAAAGGGCAACAAGTGAATGTGGTTTTGGGATTCTTCACTAGCCCTGCGAGCACCGACTTGGTGATATAGCCAAATAAGGCATACGCCTCTGTAGGATATCCGTAGTATTAATGGCTTGGTGAGCAAAAAAAATTGATCTTCGTGGAATAATTTCCTTTCCAAATAGCTCTCTCGTCAAAGAAGTCTCCAGAAGGTCAAGGGATTCTCCCATATCCGAATAAACAAGAGTTAATTGAAAAGGTTCCATTTGTGTTTGGAAACCATATCCATGTATCAGCCACTTGTACTAGGGCAATCGGTGCAAGATCAAGGCTGAGATTAGTCTATTCTAAGGCTTCAGTGTCCTTCAAATTTCTCCCAATCTTTAAATCCCATAAGCTTTTTTTCTGGGTTCCAGACCACTTATACAGTAGCCTCCCAGCAGTGGATGAGACAATAAAGAAGGGGATATTGAGAGGCAAACTGAGGGTTGGACACCCAAGAGTCGGTCCAGAAAAGAGTTGTGACTCCGTCCCAATTAGTCTCCCTAGTGATAAGATCTTGATGCCTGACAATGGACTTCCAACGGCCTTTTGCAGAAGATAAAGAGTCTCAATTCAAGTAATTTGTCTAACCATACTTTTTCTTAATGAGTTTCCTCCAGTGTCGATTTGGAAAACGAAAATTTCAACAAAAAAACCAGTAAAGTAAGCCTCACAAGTTATAACCTGAACTAAAAGAGGCTAGCAGATAAAAACGCAAAAGAAAAAAAAAAGGTTGCGAATAACGAAAAACAAGCAAACTAAATTAAGACTACACAACCCTAAAGAACACAATAACGCTTCTGCATCCGCTTTGAATCCCATAATTAGGTTTTAAAACTCCGATAGCATCAATTTCTAAAAGCTGAAAGTTCAAATGCAGGTTTTTCATCTTTACATACACCATTACTAACGCTTCGTGACTACTTCCGAAGTAAAAATGACAAATAGAAATTGAGGTAAGGTGGAAGACTTCCGAATTTCAATTTCACGATTCGAACTACCAAATATAGTTCAAATCGCAGTTCTGAAACAAAATTAAGAACTATGGGCGAACTAAGTGGCGTAGTAGACGAGAAAACAAATCGAAAACGAGAAATGTATAGAATAAATCGCAAAGAGGAGAGGAAAAGAAACCTGAAGTATGGTGGGAAGCAGAGATGGTGAAGCGCCCAGAGAGAATTGAAGACGCAGGATCGAGATCCGGGAGGCCGAAAGGAAGAAATGAAAATGAAAAGGGCCGAATGAAGAATAATCGGGTTCGTTTGTGTTCTTTCTTGGGGATGCGGCAAAGTTCCCCGGCCGAGTCTATTTTCTATCTGAAAATTGCTTCTTTTTTATTTATTTATTTTGTTAAATTACTATTACATAATATATATATATATATATATATATATTAATTATTATTATTTTTTTTTTTTTTTGTCCGGGTAGAGGAGTGAGTGTTGCTCGAGCGTCCCAAATGAGTGTGATTGTGACTATTCGTATTAGAGTCAAGTCGGCTCCTAAAATTTGAATTAACGAACACATCTACTGCACAATAGTTAAACAAGTTCTATATGGACCAGTTGATAATCGAAGAGAAAATACTCGACCTACTATAAGTCTTTGATAATTTCGACTTGTGTGTCACCTTAATTAGATACTCGTCCATGAATTAATGTGGAGGGTTGAGACCTTAGAAGACAAATCCACATGAGTTGGTAGCTTCGAGTGTGGGGATAGCTCAACGGGCTCTATTTCTGAGATGTAGGAGCGTATTGAAAGCTTAAACAACTCCCAAAAGC